TGCATTAAATTTGAAAATATTTATTAGAGTTAGCAAGAAATGAATGATCGGATATGGTTTTATGTATTTTATCTATATAGTAAATCCAAATTTATCTGTGAAGTTTGGAATTGAATTGTAAATACGTTGACGATAAGTAAAAAGCTCTAAATATATTCATACGGATGTAATAAATACAAATATGCATTTATCTATATTGTCCGATAGATTTGAGAATATTTTTATTTTGATAAAATAATGTGCCAAATTCAAAATGAAATAATACTTCACATTTTTTTTTTAACTATATATCATGCATTATTATATACGGAACAAAAAAAAAAAAAAAAAAAAAAAAAAAAAAAAAAAATCATCAATATATTTTACATCAGACGTTATTGGTACAAAAACATACGTAACTTAGGTATACAACGAGCCAAAGTAATTCGAACGATAAAGAAACGAAATAAACGCACGAGCATTCGCAATTGAGAGCATTTGTTTCGAGAGTCTTCGTTCAGAGATGATCAAACATTGGTAATTCTTAGCGCTGATTGGTTCGTTTCATCTCTTTATCACTAGGTATGACAAATTCCTATGACAAATTTTTCGCAATCATCGAATATCAGACGATGAAAAGAAAGTTCGACTTTTATCATCCCATAATTATCAAATATACTTTCCTTTTTGCCATTTACTTTACAAATTATTCTAGAAAAAACATTGCAAAAAAAAAAAAAATAAAATCAATTTTCAATTTAATCTAATTGTCATTATGACTTAAATAAACAAAGAGCTTATTATAATTAATGATTTATATCTGCCTTTATAACATATTACAATACCATAACTAAACTGTTATTTCTTTTATTATTTCTTTTCAAATTCATCGTGTTACGATCAAAAAATAAAAAAAGAAAAAAGAAAAACAAAAAACATGCACACAAAATGCTTATCGAAAGTACATTTATAAACATAGCGAGACATGCTAAAGCAATGCACTTGGTATTATCTATTAATTGCATAAATTCAAATTAGGCCAAAAGTAAATTCTGATTGCAAAGCCTTATTCGTCTCTCGTCAACAAATAATAATTATGCGCTTTAAAATAAAGATAATAGCCGTGTGCGTACATAGGACAATCACAAGCAACGAGGCTCTTATAATTAATAGTGACGTTCCCCCACTCTGCCTGCCAAGTTGCGTAGCCGCGATTTAAGTGCAATTCAATTTTTCTATAGCGCAAGCGCCTTCGATAGCTCAGTTGGTAGAGCGGTGGACTGTAGTTGGAAAATATAACATATAGACATCCATAGGTCGCTGGTTCAAATCCGGCTCGAAGGAAGTTTTTTGCTCTTTATTTTTTTTTCTCACTCAAGTGTCGTTTGCTCATTTTATTTAATTTATTCGCATAATTTAACGTCTAAAAGAATTAATTAGCATTTAATAATAATGGGCAAGTACCTGCCGACGCTGCTGCCGCCGCCGCCGCCGCCGCTGCTTCGTTTCACGCGCGTCAAAGCGTTTCATGGATGCGTCGGATGAAGAATATATGTCTTATTAATAATGTATAATAATCGTTCGTTTGACACTCGAACGCGAGCATTTTAACAAACGTAAAGTTTGTTCAACAAAAACATAAAGCGATTCGAAATAAATCATCTTTTCTTTTCTTTTATCTTTTCATCCGTCTTTAGTCGCCTAAGCATGGTAAATTACATTAGCGTGGAACTATTTGCATAATTATTAAATTATTGAGCCAAGAACCCTCAAAGCCGTAAGAATGAGTTCCTTATAGGGGGAAAAAAAATACTTCCCTCCTCGAATGATAACGTTTGTAATTAAATATAAGTTTTTCGCGTCTGTAAGTTACTTGAATACTTCTAGTCTTATTGATATGTGCAGTTCAATCACTTTCTTTACTTTCTTCTTCATTGCAGAATGCGTGGTTGTTGGAGCTTCGATCGAACGAAAAAATGTAAAAGAAGAGAAAATTTGTCGCATTTACGTAGGACAGTATTTTACAAGTAAGGAGCCTATTGGTCTTCCTTTATTAACAAAAAAAAAAAAAAAAAAAAAAAAAAAAAAAAAAAAACTGCTGGACACTATTAAAAACCAAACTACTTATTAGCATACAAAAGGACCTGTCGCAGTATTTATCGCTTCTCATTCTTGTCCACTCTCTCTCTCTCTCTCTTTCTCTCTCTCTCTCTCTCTCTCTCTCTCTCTCTCTCTCTCTCTCTCTCTCGTTACTGCAACAACAACGGGACCATGCGTTTTCAACGCCAGTCTCGAGTGTGCGTCATTAGTATTCGAAGCTTTGGCGAAGAATCGATATGACGTGACGGTGGATTTAAAGTCAGCCGTGTTAGTAAAATTCCATCGAGCGCGAAAGGGGGCTGGGCTGCTTGTAAATAGCACAGCGACAAATAAGTGCAAATAAGGTGGCTCCTCTTGCCGAGACAATGTGCGTGATAGGATTCGGCACACCGCCCACGCTTTCCATGTCAATGGGAGATGATTTTTTTTTTTTTTTTTTTGATAACTATTACACGCTCTTTCCAGTGTCGGGCCTCCTTCTCTCTCCTCCTGCTCTCTGCGAAAATTTTTATCTTTTCCTCACCGTTCCCCTCCGCCGCAGCCGATCATCCATTCGCCGCACACAAGACTACTGTTTAGTGTTTAATTAGTAAATAGTCTCTAGCGCCAACGAGGATATATACTTAGCGTACGCACACGCACGCACACTCATGTATCGTCACACTATGCCGTACGCATGAGTCACCTCCCGGACTACCTACGACTATCTGATAATAATTCGCTTCCGTACCCTCTGACGTATGAAAATTACATTTTTATTGACCATTAAATGCAAAATGTAGAAAATCGTGGATATTTTGGATAGAGGCTACTTGTCGTTATCCGCATTTTAATTTACGACCGCACCTCTGCGACTTATTGGCTATTTGAATAACTAAACAATAGAGAGACATCTCCAATCATATAAAAGACAGTTTTGTCATATGCATATTTTATTGCAACAGATTTATTTTACTTCACAACTATTATGCATCGTTAATAGTTAAAACGTACATCGTTAATTTCCGACAAACTTTAAACTTGATACTATACTCAAGGGAAATAGAGGCACAAATGCATGGAATTTAAGATTTGTTTTTGCAATTGAATTTTTCGTTTCTTTCATTTATTTTTATCATTGAATAAATCGTAATTCTATCGCTTTAATGAGAAACGTGATTGACAAAATAATAATAATAATAATAATAATAATAATAATAATAATAATAATAATGACAAGAACAACAATAATAACCACAATAATAATAATTAATAACGAAAAGAAAGAAATGGACAAGAAATAAGGGAACGTGAATAAAATATATAGTAGAATAAAACTATGTTGAAGAAAAAAAAAAAATATAGAAGTCGACCGTGACAGGACTCGAACCTGCAATCTTCGGATCCGAAGTCCGACGCCTTATCCATTAGGCCACACGGTCAATTGACAACATTTTTCATGATACGGTATAATAATCAATCAGCAGCTATATTAAAATTTTATTTATTTACGAATTTTTCTATTAAATGAAATTCTTTTTTCCTTTCATTATTATACAGAATAATTGTAAATACAATTGTAATATCATACGTATTATAATACTCAGCAATGATAAAGCAGTGATGATTAATGCTCTTACGGTATGTAGCCAGCGAGATTTCTGTCTTATCGGCAATAGGCTAATTACCTATGTAGCACTTTTTATCGCTCGTTGAAAGGATCAAACAGAAGGTATAGTTAGATTAGCACTACCAATGCAAAAACTCTAATTGATTAATTATGAATTATGTTTTTTATATATAACGACTTGATAAGTCGGTTGAATATTTAATATGTACAGTTGAGTATATACAAATGCCCGACGATACAATATTGGATATGAATATTTATTTATAATTTGCCCATAAATTCCACAATTATTGCTCTTGTGTTAATATTCAATAAATTGTGTATATGCATTTGTCGTTAAGCGGCGAGGAATTTAAAAGAGAAGATAATTTAAATTTCTACTGAAAGTCAAACGATTTCGCCAAAATCCTATCACTTATACAGGAGACATGTGCAGCTACAGCTTCGTGAATCTCCAAAGAGCGCGCTTTATGGATTTAAAAAAAAAAAACATAAAATAATCGTCACTACTCAGCGTTCTAAATCACTGAAACTTCGACATCATTACTAAACAGACTTCATTACTAAAAGAAAAAAAAAATTATTAATTACATAGCCGAGGAGACGATTTTGCCAACAAGACTAGGTGCCATAATACGAGGACTCGAATTAATTTTTGAACAATAAGAACAACGTGGAGCGTTCCCGTGAGACACAAGTAGCACTTTTCTCGATTAGCGTACCACCTTACAATTTTACATTAAGAATACAGTATATCGCGCCCCTATCTCCAACATCATCGACTGACTACACGACATTAAAAAAAAAAAAAAAAAAAAAAAAAAAAAAAAAAAATATTCTCATCAACAACCAACGTCGTCAGTCCTGAAATCGAGTGCAGATTCTTTGATCGCGACTCCATCCTATCGGTCGGCCAACTCGGTCCTCCTCCCGAAAATTTGCTTCGCCAATGTCAGCGACTTTTCTGCCTCTACGGATCGATCGTATTTTCGCAGGCATGGCCCCGGAAATGCGCGGCGTCCATCTTCCCCTCGGGCCCGTGACACCAGCGACCTCTCCCACCCGACGAATACCGACTCGGCGACCGGCGGCGGCGGCGGCTTCGGCTTCGGATTCTGCTGCCGCCTCCACGGCGTCAGTCTCGTGCGAAGCCTCGTCGTGATAACGATGTGCTCCGTCGTAGAAACTACGATGACGACGATGACGACGACGACGACCACAACGACGACGACACCGACGACGACACCGACGACGATGACCACTGAAACCGCTACCGCTACCGCCGCCGCCGCCGTCGCCGTCGTAAGCGACGATGATGATGATGATGGAGGCGGAGGTGGTCATCGTCGTCGTGTTGGTGGCAAGCAAAGGCCCTGGCAGCGGCTTCTCGGCAAAGAACTCGTGCGCTGCGGCTGTACCGAGGACGGGGGCGGGAGGCTAGGCAGCCTGGAGGCCACCCGCGAGTGTAACGTCCTCGGTCTGTACTTCAGCTTCGTGGAACCCGAGGGCCCGTCGAGCTGCGACGACTTCACCAGGCACCTGCTCGATCTCTATGCAAACATTAACGGTGAGGTGGCGCAGGGTTGCGCGCGTCCCTTCGAGGTCGTGCACGTCCTGCTGTGTAAAAGAGTCCAGGACGCCCTCGACCTTGACGAGATCTTTCGGAGCCACATGGCCGAGCTCCCATGGCTCGCTGTGCCGAGCGACGACTACGAGCGGAAGGTGAGTTGCGCTTTGTCAGGCCGACCGGGGGCTTTTACCACGAGGAGGTCTCTCGGGCCTTGGTTGCGACCGCTATTCGGCCCGGCGCTGCACCCTCCCACCCACTCGGTCATTCCCCGACTCTTCTTGGGAATTTAAATGTGCCGACGGAGCGATTTCGGGTCGAATCGGCTCGCTCCCTCCATTTATTATTATTCGCTTGATAGTCGGATATCGCGCTTCGGATTTCACTGCGCGTCGGTGTTTCCAGTCAGTTGCCATTCCAGCGCCCGCCCGTATTATTCCAGAATTGCGCCCTCTCCTCCGTCGAGGAGTCTTGTCTACGTGGTGATTGGAGGATTATTCCAGGGTGGCAAACGAGCGGAAAGCAGTGAACCGACAACGGCCTTACGTTGATCGAGAGCTTTATTGCGGTGGCGTAATGTGCATGTGTGATAATTAAAGCCTTGAGACGTAGCGAAAAGCTCGAAGGACGAGATTTTCTTATTAGTTCAATTTTAATTCTAGCCGACAGATAAAGTTTTCCAGTCGCAATTGGCATGTCGAATGCTATTTCGTAAGTGGAAGGGGCAACGGGTCGACATTGGCGCGGAAAAGGGGGAGCGGCAGGAGGGAGGGGGGGGGCAAAGCTAGATAGCGAAAGGTAAAGTACGGGCATGGGCTCCACGCATCTTTTGTTAATATGAAACTTTGCCTTTAAAATGTCCTTTTAAAGAGGTAATAATAGCGAGGTATATACGATTGGGGAAGTCCTAATCGAGCAGTCGTAACCGACCCTGAAGCGAATTTGGGCGTAAGCGTTAATAAAGGTAGAGTAAATACAATATTGGCCCACGTTCTTTGTCGTCGGTTACATAAACCGGAATAGTTAATGCATTCCCCACATTAATCCAATCCCACCGACGCTGACTAACCACGCATCCTCTACCTGAGCGTAGCGTCGTCGCTATTGTCACCTCAGCGATATTGAGAGAATCCTTATCGGGCTGAAGAATCGGTTGATCGGGATAAATCATAGGCGAGATCGTCAAACAGTTGGGCAAATAGAACGTAGGCGTTCACAGTTGCCCAACGATTGGCAACTGAGAGCTTCCTCCTCATCCCCCTCAACCTCCATCTCCTTGAATTTTCCTTTTCTCTTAGATTTCGCCGGGCTTTTGCCACGAATGCATCTCACGTAGTATTGCTCGTGACGCTTATTGCGCACGAGCTTCCTGTTACCGGGGGACTGACTGACTAATCGGACGCGCGAGTTTGTCCTTTACAAACGAGGGACCCGGAATTTGACCCCGGAGGTTGACTAGCAACGGGCACCAAGAAAAAAACGTAAAGCCGAATGTCGGAAGGAGAGAAGCAGCCTGAGTGCGTCTTTCGTGCGTCAGACCCTGACGGTGAGTTCGTATTCAGACATTACGACGCACAGCGGATCAGAGTACGATCCCTACGTTACATCTAAGGGACAATAAAAGTGTTCCCCTCGGCGCGTTAGCCACATACGCGCATCGACGCAATTATGTGCGTCGTGTCTACGCCACGTGCTCCATATAATTTCTGCCCTCGCGCAAACGACCTCCGTCGAATTTATGGCTCTCTCTCTCTCTCTCTCTCTCAGGCTGTGTGCGTTCGTGCTTACGTGCGTAGTAACGTGCATGAGTGTGGGCGCGTATGTACGCAGACGCAAGGGTTCTGGCCTTTCTCCTTTTCCACCCCATCCAGGCCGTCATCCATCGTACTTTGGCTCTCCCCCCCTCCCCTCCTTACTCGCTCATGCGCGCGCGCGCGCACATACACACACACACACAATCGCTCCCCCTCTCCATCTTTCCCTCAGTCTCACACCCTGTCCTTCCCTCTCTCTCTCTCTCTCTCTGACATACACGTACAAATGTAGATGGACGCACGTATGTATTGTTCGTCACTCTCTTTCCACCGTACTCCCTAGCGCGTTTTCAACCACGTCAGATAAGAAGAAAATTAAGATCGGCGCCCAAGTACTGCGGGGAATTTCCTAGAAGGGCGGTCGAGCCCGATGACGGAATTCGATTTGCCGGCACGAAATTTGCATGATAAAACGAAGCCGAGGTGGTGCGCGCGTCTAGATCGCCGCTACTAGACGACCCTCGTGTGCCCCGGCGACGTCACCCGGATTTACATCATTTCTGTTTCCTCACGGACTCATGGGTTCACGTCGCACACCGTTTTTTCCTACCAAGATCTTCCGGTCGGATTGTGGATAAGTGATTCGGGACGATAAGAACGTAAATATTATTTCTACGTTTTCGTCGGGACTGTGGCTGCAGGATGTTTGTTTGACGTTCATTAAATTTTGATCTAAATTCGCTAAGCACATAAGAAGAAATTTTCAATAAAGCTTCGTATATGAGTAACCAGGGACTTATCTACTAAGCTAAATTAGATTTACGCCAGAAAATTGGAAAATTTGGTCCACGTAACTTATGCACTAGGAGATGTGAATCGACGGAGAAGTAATCTTGGGAAGTAAGCGGCCGCGGATGTTATTAATGTTTTACGATGGAAATTGACAAGCGTGCACTGCACATTCGTATTATTGACAAAAATCATCGCTCTAAATTGTTTATAAAAATTGTTGTAAAATCAGCTCATCATCATAGAAATACTAAAGTTTTCGATGAGAAATTTAAAGTCAATTCTCTGTAATTGTTCAAGGTCCTTTCTTCATTCGATTCAGCGAAATATCCTCATTTCATCCGGTAACGCGAATGTTAATAAAATTCTACTCTAATTGGTTACCAGAAACGTAAATTCTATAACTAGTCATTCCTCTTATTAAGATAATAAAGAAAAGAAGAGCGAAGAATTCACTGAGGATGATGGAAAAGAGGCGAAGCCGCGGAGGGATGATTTATAAGATACGGAGTCGCGCACTCCAGAGGAACTACACATAAAAAAAAAAAGCGCCGTTCGGCTTAATATTTACCAAGGTCTTTCACCCCCTCTATTTTCGTCTTTCGCCAGCTGGATTAGGCCTACTTCGCTTTTCATGCTGACGATTTCAGTGTTAATGGACTCGCGGCGAGGGACGCGTTATTTTGCGCGAAACCGAGTATTTGAAACGACTTGTGCCGGCAATTGCGAGGCGGGAATGGTAGTTAAAAAGAGGCCCAGAGGTTGAAGCAAAAGCAAACTCGACACTCGGCGCTCCCGACGACCCATATTTTCCGCGCTTAGCACTTTTATTTGTACTCCTTGAGCATACGCAATTCGCGACGCACGAACTTGAGAAGAAACGGTCTAGCTCACTCTTTTGTTTCAATGAAAATCATTCCGCTTCCTCCGCTCGACTTTACGAAAGGTTCTTTCTTTCTTCGCTCACCTTTACCGGGAAGTTTTTTTCGCTCGCTTGACTCTGCTGCAAATTGTTGACAAAAGGGGAATTAAAGTAAGAGAGGACATACGAAATATGGATGATGGAACGAGTGATACGATCTTTTTTAAAAATGAACGTTTTAAGTACTTATGTTTATCCACTTTTCAAGCCATCGAAAATTTCTTCTCTTATCCATTTCATAAAGAGTTACCGTATAAGAACACCGGCTGAACTTTTTCCTTTTATCATTATCGTCCTCATCTTACGAACAATCGTTGTTAATAATTAACATTGAAATTTTTAACTACTTTATAAGATGCCAAGTAGCTTTTAAGCCCAATGAATCTTGAAATTATAAAAGACAAATGAAATAAATCTTCGTAGAACATTTCCATTTTCTGCCTTTACTACTGTCGTACATCATAAGATTATAATCCAAATATGATATATTTGACTTTTTTATTTATGTCCACGGTGATTCTATTGCTCTACCGGATATAGCTTTTATTTGAAAATGAAAAAGGTAAAGGTCACAAGGTTTAAGCAATTCAATTAATTAATAATATCTCATTAATAATATAGCAATATTATTAATTTAATAATTAATAATATTAATAAAATAAAAAATATGAATAAATTCTCAATTTAATCATTATACAATACTTTTCTTTGCATCATAAAGAATAAATAATTTAGTACATACAAAGGCAAATATGCTAAAAGTAGAATCAGATAATTGAAATAACCAATACTAAATGTATGGTAATTGCCTGTGTCACAAGTTATTTTTTCTCCTCTATATCTGCTTCTATAATAAAATTAATGAATAACATTAAGAATTACACAGTAATCTATTCTTCTAGTATAACATTATTTTAATAAATATATGAATTATTACAAAATTTATTACAAAAGATTTCAATTTACTATAACAAAACATGCTATAGCTTATCATTCATATGATTATACAAAGTACAGTATTGTTGATTAAAATATCATTAATATTTTTTTAATTAAACATTCAGTATTTCCAAATATAATTTTATACTGTAAATGTATATTTATCATAATTGCAAATGCTATGATAATAGTAGTATTTTCTAACATTAAAGATATATTTATAATATATATATATATATATATAAAGTTCTGTTTATCGTCAGTTTCATTGAAATAATAAAATATGATTGTTCATTATATTTCACACCTATAATACGGTTTTTCTTACCGTACTGTAACAGTTCAACATACATACAACAGTTTCATCATTTTGGTTAAACTACTTCGTAACATAAAATATTATGATTAAAAAAAAAGAATCAATTGTTTTTGTACAACATGTATATATTAAATTTATGTTGTATATATTAAAATGTTTAATGAATTGCTCGTATAAAGTAAAACTGAGACAACACAAACAAATACTTTCCTTTTAATTATCGTTAAATCACATTATATGTTGAACAATGAAAAACTTTAAAATATCAATGCCCTAAATGATATTAATATGAAATTTTACATGAATATTATGCACATAGTGTAATCTAAGCAAACAAAGAAAAAAGCAAAATAAAATGACAAGAAGAGAAAGTTGGGGGGTAGATGGAATTAGGCATGCTAATACAATCGGCCATATTTGCTTAGAACATGC